AAACAGTTATTCAACAGAGAATCATCAGCTTGCATCTCCTTGGGCAAATCATAATTCTGAACAAATTAAAATATATGGAATCAATAAAATATTTGAAAGTCATTCATAAAATTCTTTAATAAGTCCTAGTCTCTGATACCTTATAGAATCCTGACGTAGCCAGAGCAACTAGCTTCGATATTCTAGTTTCTAAGGCGAGCTGCAATGCTTTCAGGCATATTTCTCTCAGTTCATGAGGCGGTGATCGCAACAGTCCAGTCTGGGACTCCAGCAAGTCTGAAAGGAGTGTGATGGAATGAGAATAATATTGCCAGGAATGGAAGTGAGAGTGAGAGACAGAGTGAAAATGAGAGTAAAAGTAAGTGACAATAAAAAGAGTCAGAGAGGGAAGGAGGAAAGAGAAAGAGCGAGAGGAAAGAAAAGAAGAGAGAGAAAGAGAGAGATAAAGTATCTCAATTTCAATATCCCAATAATAATGCATAGGGCACTGGTAAGCACATAACACACACATATAAGACAAGCACATATCACACTGACTCCAAAACTCACCTGAGGCTTCCTGGCATACTTGTTTGATGTGGCTGTGCTTATTAGATGAAGTATCCTTAATCAGCTGTTCCAAGACTTCCTCCATTGTGGATGTAAATTTTGTTGATTTCTTAGAGCAGAAATTTGGTGAATCCTACTGAGGATTCTTTTATTTGTTCAACTGCAGCCACATTCTTTCTGAAAATAATGAAACATATTCATAAAATAAATGGGCTATACATCTTATGTTCATAATGTATTTTATATGGTATTTTAAGGTCCTCTGTAGTGACATGTGAATTATCATAGTGTAAATTTGTACATCATAACCATTTTCCATTGTGAAGTGTTTTCATTTTTTGCTTACTCAACCAAGGAATCAATTAGTATACCTTGCGTAAAAACAATTAATAAACCAAACTCAGTGGGTATGGCATATGCATATATATCATCCCCTGTGGCAATAGTTTAAGATTATTGTTGCTGGTGCTGCTATCATTTTTGTTGTTACTGTCAACATTGCTCTTGTTCTGTTGGTTTTACACTATTATCACTATCATTATCACTATTAGTAAGACAGTACTGGAGGATATGACAGGTTAGGTCTCCCCCTTCCCCACTTCTTCCAAAAACACGGAGAAACTCAAAATAAGGAGGGGACAGGGACTGGAAAAAAATATCTCAGATCAGATTAATACGCATTTCCATTTGCTGGATTCACAGTACTACTGCACCAAGTTTACCTCCCCATAATCAGCTGTTTACAGTAAATTCAGAGAAAAATCTTATGAACCACATTTCTGTTTATCCATATCATTATGAACAATATGCTCATCTTCATCAATATTTTTCTTATTATTTTCTAATCTAAGTTATTCTTGTGGTTGATGTGACTGCCTAGCATCTAGTGAATTATTTCTTAAATATTTAGCTTACAAAACCCTTTCTGTTCAATCCTATCCTGTCTCAAACATGTAAATGCTTACAGAATATAAATATCAATATAACCAATAAATCACAATCTTGAGACAAGCCTGTGAATATGTTTGTGGGCTTCCTAATACATCTAATGATAATATAATGCATAAAACATCACATCACATTACTGATACTGGTAATTACATATAGCTAATAAATAATGTATCTGGCAAAATATGCCTCCAAATCATTGTTCTCGCTTTGGGCTTGATCTCTTCCTGGACTGATCCAGCATCAATCGGTGCTGCACCTCCATGTAAGTCTGTAATAGTACAGACTTGCTTTCTCCATGATGCTGAAAATGCAGTACGTAAGACATTAAGTGATGCCAACTTTGCAGTTCACCTTTCAGCGAAGGCTAGAAACCTACAGAACATATATTTTGCAAGACAGACTTGAAGGAAGTTACTTCAAAGAAAAATCTCCCGGGAGGTCTATAAGCTCTATCTTGTGTGTTGGCAGAAACTATTAAACTACAGTAAGCTTGTATGTATGCATGCATAAATATCTCTATACAGATTCTCAATCAATAATATACAGCCTCACACTGGCCTTTTGTGACACTGAGCCAAACCTGTACATAAAATGCGCAAACCTAAGTTTGTACAATATGCTCATATATCTGTAAATTCTCAGGTTCAGACCAAACATCTGGCTAAAACAACACAGTCTTGCAACAACAAAATCCTATTATTTCCATATTCTTCTAAAGCAACTAGGAAATTACCAATACCACAATCTTGCAGTTTACAGCACAATCAAGTAATAACAATTATCCTTACAGCATTGTAATCATTGCCCTCCTACAACCACCACAATTCAACGATCACCACAATCTTGTAAATGACCATTACAGTCCTATAGTCACCCCAATACTAAAATCACTACGTTCCTAATGTCACCACAATCCCCACAATAGTACACTCACCACAATACGACAATGACCACAATCCTACAATCACCATAATTCTACAAACATCACAACCTTGTTATC